CGGAGGGCGGAAGTGAAGGCGGAGAGAAGGATACCGAAGATGGCACCGAGAGTACCACCCATATCGTCGACAGACTCGGTAGTGGAAGTGAGGAAGGAGAGAACCTTGCCGTTGGATGCAGAGCCCTTGTCGAGGTTCTTGATCAGAGACTCGCAGAGGCCTTTGACGGCCTCGCCGCAGTCACCATCACCCATAACCATATCCCACTCAGTGAGCTTGGGTTCAGCAAGGATAGCAGTCTCGCAACTCTGGCGGACGGCGCCCTCCAATACCTTGCCATCCACCACAATGCTGCCAGTCTCAGCCTCCTCCTCCTCGGCAGTGTTGGTGGCACTATCAGCGCTAACTGTCCTCGTGGCATCGGCGCCAGGTCGTGCCACGTTGGGCCAAGAGACGGCCGTTGTAGAGCTGTCGTACAGCCTCAGAAGCTCGTCGGTAGATACTGAGCACTCTTTGGCGACGTTAGAGAGGTTGATGAGTGAGACAGAGAATCCAGGAGCGTTCAGAGATGTCTCGAAAGTTCCAACTAGAGTGCGGCTGGGCTTGATGTTGTATGTGGAGGCGAGCTGGGCTTGGACCTCGTCTGTAAGAGCTCCAAGCTCGAGAAGCGACAGGCCGCCGTAGTTGTTGATACAAAGCATAACGTTGTCGCCAGTCTCGAACTTTACAAAGGCCCTCTCGGCATCGTTGGGATCGGCGAGAAGCTTCAGGAGGCGCTCAATGAGGTCTTGAACGGAGGGGAAGGGGGAGATCATCTGCTGAGCGGGCTCATTATGGATACCAGAACCGACGGCACAGACGTCGGCGGGGATAGACTGAAACTGTCGACCTGGAACGTGGCAATGATCAAGGGCGGAACCGATGGACACAGTAGCGTCGTTGAGCGAATAACCAAGCTTCAGGCAACGATCGTAGGACCACTTCTCTGCTGCTGCGGCACCAAGGATCTTCATAGCTAAGTGAACAGGTTAGCTCTGCTTCAAATTGCGAATATAGCACCTAGGTGGTCGTTAAATATTACTTACTGAAGACGTGGCCAGGCATTCCTCGCCTGCCGACACGGCTGCTTCTGCTACGGCCGATGGAAACGTCGTCTGTGGCGTAAACAATGGCGACGTTGTCGCTAAGACCAGAGGCCTTGGCTCTCTCAGCAGCCAGGCCGAAATGTAGCCGATCACCGGTGTAGTTTGTGATGAGGAGAATTGTACCCTTCTTAGAGGGAGCAAGGTTCATAGCACGGAGAACCTGCTTTGTGCTAGGGGAGGCGAAGATGTCACCGCAGGCGACAGCAGAGAGAAGACCTTCGCCAACGAAGCCACTCCAGGCGGGTTCATGGCCAGAGCCACCACCACCAATGATGCTCACGCACTCCTCATCATTGTAGGCATTGGCGACGACACGCTCGGGCTCATCAAGAACGAGATGGGGGTTCGCCGACACAAGCGCTCGAAGTGCTCGAGGGACGAGTGTGTTCGCCGCAGTATCGGGGAAGTAGTGCTTGGTCGAGGCCATGGCGCCGTTCTGTAGCTATTCTCAAGAGGGAAGAATAGGAATGAAAGGCGTTCTATAAGAAACGAGCAACTCTACAGCTAATACACAGTAGTAGAAAACAAAATGGCAGACAAACGGCTAAGCCAAGGTGGCCAGGTTGGTACGGTGCTTTAACTAAGAGGCGGGCGATCGATGTAGCTCTCACGAACTGAGGGTGGTTGCCTTGTTTGCTTTGCGTGGTCACAAGCCCTCTGAGCGCGCGTCGAGTAGCAGCATATGGAGACCGATCTCGAAGCGAAGTCACGATTGTCTTCTCTCGAGTCCTGTCCCATGGCACCTCAGCTTGCTTTTCGCTGGGCGGAACTACACTACGCTGGCATGACATTTATTGGTGGCACTGGTGGGGGGTGACCATTTCCGAGCAAATTACCCCCGCACCTTGGCCTGGCATGTATGCTACGGTGCCACCACTCCTCCTGCCCCAAGCACGGGTCCCGAGCCGAGGGAGGAGAGGGGATTTTTTTCCTTCTGGGGGATGTAGGTGGAGATGGAGAGGGTGAGAGGCCAGGGCGAGGCTAATGTGAAGTGAGCGTGGCGGACCGTACACACCACCAGGGAGCTTGACGGTTAGTTGACGGGTGCCCTAGCAGTCCTTGCTCAGAAACGTGCCGGTGTGGTACTAGAAGTTCAAGAGGTCAATGACTTCCCCACTGAATCAATTGTTCTCGAAGAGCGCGCATGCCGGGAAGAGGGCGGTACAGGTACCCGAACAATGATTGACATTGGACGCCGACTTCTATTAAAAAACGAAGAGAATAAGAGACCGAATACAAGCACAATAAGCACAATACGGAACCCAACATCAGGGTGCTGTGTCTGTTGTCTGTTGCGGCCATGTTTTCCGGTTGCAAAGCATCAATTGGTCTGGATCGCACTGCTGGGGAAGAGGTCACGGGACTTGGGGATGCTCCGCAAATTTGCGATGAAAAGCCATTGGCCAATCACCACGCACGACGAGATCAGCGCGGCTAGTTGGCAAGAGCAGTCCCCTCAAGCTCCTTCCTGCCTTCCTGCCTTCCAGTCGAAAAGCAGCAAATCACGAGGCTGGTGGGAAAGGCATCGGAACTCTGCAAATTCCACTTCGACGCTGCTCAATCAACCGACTTCAATTCCCACTCACCCTCGACTTCGGCTGCTGTTGGCATCCAATCATACCCTGGTAGTGATTCAGGAATCCTGCAGCAGATCCGCGAGACGCGCTCGCTCACTGATGCCTTTTTGCCGGGATTGAGCTATGAACGCGAGTAGCACAACACGCCCCAACAAGCGGCCCCGAAAATCAAGGGGGAGAGGATTACGTACTAAGTCAGGCTGTCTAACGTGCCGACAGAGGCATAAGAAATGCGATGAGGTACCTACACACCTTGGATCCCTCTGCTAGGGGTACACAATACTAACAGATTTGCCCAAAGGCAAAACCTGTGTGTGGGCCTTGCACTATCTCCTCAAGGCCCTGCGTCTGGCCTGATGAGGAGTCTCAACCTCCTCGGCAACCAGAATCACAGCCCATCGGCCCCGGTGCCCAGATTCTCCCTCCACCTACTCACAATGGACATAGTGGTCTCGTGAATCAGGTGACAGAGCCGACCGCCTCATCAGCGTCTCCAGGGGTGGCTTCTCATTCCACAGCCTCGTTGATTCAACAGCCACTTGGTAATTCGCCTCATGTGCCACAACAGCCACCTGTCGCCGACCCTGCGAGGACTGTAGCTCAGCAACATCCTTCGCCAGCTGGAATTGCTCTGCAGTCTCCCATGAAGATTGGCTATTCGCCGGATACCGTCTCCTCGGAGTTATGGACCGCCGACTTTGCCTCAACGCGCTGGCTCGACCTGCTCACTAATGATGCCGCACAAGCCGACAGTGGCTTCTCTCTCTCGGTGGCTCCGAGTCCAACCCCGGCGGATGAGGGTGAGCGTGGGAATGGGGCCGGGACCAAGACACCCACATTAACCGCAGCTCAGAGCGCCGCAGCTCTCCCCGTCAATAGTCACATTCGGCCGCCCGACAATCCAACAGCCTCTGACCTGGAACGCAAGACGTGGCAAGCAGATGCAGATGTCACCCTTACCAACCACGAAGCAGGACTTCTTCGACACTTTGCTGATAGATGCGCCCGGTGGCTGGACCTGTTTGACTCTCAAAAGCTATTTTCAACCTACGCCGTCCGACTCGCACTTCGGAATCCCGGGTTGATGAAGGCGATCTTGGCTCTTGCAGCAAAGCATCGATCAAGGTCACAGGGAATGACCCTCGGCTACGATGCCAGCGGATCGGTCATACAGAATGTGGCCCAGAGTTCCGAAGACAGCGAAGGAGTTCGCTACTATTATGAGACTCTACATTATGTCCAGGAGGCACTTGCTTATAACAGTTACACCCACTCTGAGGAACTCCTTGCCACGGCGATCGTGATCTCAGCTTATGAGATGCTAGACGAGTCTGACGGCTCCGGTAATTGGCAACGGCATCTCAAGGGTGTGTTTTGGATACAGCGTTCCCAGGACGTCAATGGTGGATCTGGTGGCATTCGCCAAGCGGTGTGGTGGGCTTGGCTTCGGCAGGATATCTGGGCTGCCTTCCGGGAAAAGAGAGCATGCCTTAGTTTTTGGAAGCCCGTGAAGGATCTCCGCGAGTTGGATCAGCATGGACTGGCGGATCGGGCCATCTATCTCTTGTCCCAGGCTGTGAACTACTGTGCTGAGTCTCGCCGGGCCGAGGCGACGTCAACCATTGACCCTTCTGCTTCTATTAAGCGGAAGATCGCAAGGGACGAGCTCGTGACCAAGATGGAACGATGGAAGTCGTTCTTAGGGAAAGAATACAAGCCGCTCCCAACACCATCAAGCCCGACAGATGTTTTTACTCCTCTCTGGGTACATCCTCCCCATTTCGGAGTCGCCCTACAGGCGTACAGCTTTGCGCAGATTCTCATCACATTACACAGCCCGAATCTGGCTGGATTTAATGGATATTTGAAAATGCAGCGAACGCTCGCCGACGCGGTCGAGACTATATGCGGCATTGCGATGGAGCTCAAAGAAGAGGGGTGTCAGATTCTCTCGGCGCAGTGCCTTTTTGGCGCTGGCCTGTGCGTGCAAGACCCTTCCAAGAGGGAGGTCATCATGACATTGATGCAGGCCTGTGAAGCCAGGGTGGGTTGGGCCCCCATGGCCACCTGGAGGGATGATTTGAGGCTCGAATGGGCCAAAGCCGATAGCGAGTCTACTGAATCGTGTTAGAACCACAAAGTCAAGGCCCGACCTTTTGTCCGGAAATATGATCTGGCAAAGCGCCGCCATGTGAAGAGCATCGACGAAATCCTGCGCCAGACTGTGTGGGATCTTGAACCGCCGCCGCCTCCACCCAAGCGTAGTGCTTTTGCAGCCAAAACCATCAGCAACTGACATGAGAAGCATGACATGAAGCTGCGGAGCTTCTTCTAAACGATGCCAGGCTACCGGCGCAACAGTATCGCCGTGCCTGCAATCGACGGAGTTATTCATGAGCAGGACAACAAGCATTCCGTCTCTGTATGTTTGATTGCAATAACCATACACAGGGGTGGCCTGAGGTTGGGAAAGACTACCAAAGACTAACATTCATGGGATCATGTAGGGAAAACGCCATCTTGTTGCCTGAGCGAGGGAAATGCGCGCCCTTCCCTGTGCTGTCTGTCTCGCAGAATCCCACTTGGCAGCAGAAGCAGAAGCCACCCGCAAAGAGCCCCCAGACAGCTTAGACAGGACGCCCCGCCCCTCAGTTCAAAATCGGAACCAGCCATAGTATGAAAAGGAGGAGTAGAATTTCAAGAAGGCGTGAGGCTTGCTGGAGTTAACCTCTTTGTCATCATTGTCGTCACCAATTACCCGCCTCGCCTCGATATTGAACAAACGCATCAAATCAATCGCTCTATTATCCAATTCTATACTCTGTCTATATGATTTGAACCCATTTAGTTACCCTTGGCCTTCTCGTAGTCCTCAATAATCTTCACCTTAGCGGCTGAGCCGGAGGTCTGCAACGCGTTAGTTCTGGCCCTCTACAAGAAAAACGGCAATACCTACAGTATCGAAGTGGTAGCCGAGCCACTCCTTGACGAGCCTCCTAGCGAGCTCAATACCAATGACACGCTGCCCAAGGCATAGAACCTGGCAGTTGTTGCTTAGGATGGAGCGCTCGACGGAGAAGCTGTCGTGGGCGGTGACGGCACGGACACCGTCGACCTTGTTGGCAGCAATGGCGACACCAAGACCAGTACCGCAGATGAGGATGGCACGGTCGACCTCACCCTTGGCGACGGCCTCGGCAGCGCGGATGGCGTAGGTAGAGTAGGCGGTCTTGTCAGAGTCGGCGTTGGGGCCGACGTCGATGACAGAGGCGACGCGGGGGTCGGCGGCCAGATCCTTGGCAATGGTGGCCTTGTAGGAGAAGCCGGCTTCGTCGCCGCCGAGAGCAATGCGGAGTCCAGACATGTTGACGGTGATGTGGTAAATGCGAGAGCAGGTTGTTTCAAAGAGATGAGAAGTTTTGGGTGGTTGAGGTCCTGAAAAGCGGATGTGGGGGTACCGTGAGGGGTGAATTACGTAGAGGTGGATTGATGTCCAGAAAAAAGGGCCAATGAGTTCACGGAGCAGGAAAGGGGAAGTTGAATCGAGCAAAAGAGTCCAGGAATATCGATACCCGAGGTTAAGAAATACTTTGAGATGGATATGGCAAGATGTCTCGAGACTCACCTCGCCTACAAGGTCTGGATTGCCTTCCTTAGAGGCGAATTCGCTGTTGTCGTGAACACCCTCTTCGCGCCCGGGACCCACGTTTCATCACGAACGGCCACGGAGAGTCAATACCGGAAGATACTCCACTGGCTAGAGGATACAGACTCGAGGCGAGGTATTAGTTACATTTTGATTTTTAGTGCCCATCTCCACGCCCCCGCACCCTCGTTTCGTGGTGGTGGCTCAGAAATATGTCGATTTACCGGCAGCGTGGGGAGAGCTCGCGGGCGGAGGGTCTGGGCAAGACAAGAGACTGTCGCCTACGGGCTCGCTTGTTCTTCGTGGTTCGATGATCAAAGAAGTACAGATATCCCTTGTTTGGTTGGTTGTCCACTAATACCTCCTTCATTACCAACTACATCTACACTCTGACCTGGACCTCATATTTATATGCTTCCACACTCTTCTTTTGTAATTCGACAACACCTGAAAATAGTCAGTAAAAACTCCAGAAAAATCCGGTATCATGGCTCCCTGGGACCCCACCAACAACAAGACCTACCAGATCCTCAAGGCATCTGAGGAGGGCGGCTACGGCATCGTCGCGCCCATCGCCTACAACATTGAGCACATCCTCGCCTTTGTCCGCGCCGCCGAGGCCAAGCGCAGCCCGCTCATCATCCAGGTCTTCCCCTGGGCAATTACATTCTCCGATGGCCTGCTCATCCACGCCGCCGCCAAGGCTGCCTCCCAGGCCTCTGTGCCCATCGCCATTCACTTGGACCATGCACAGAACGAGGAGATGATCCGCCTAGCTGCTGACACCCTCCCCTTCGACAGCATCATGGTCGACATGAGCCATTATGAGATGGACGAGAACCTGGCCAAGACCAAGACGCTCGTTCAGTACTGCCATGACCGGGGTATCGCCACTGAGGCCGAGCCCGGCCGCATTGAGGGCGGAGAGGACGGTATTGCCGATACCGCCGACCTCGAGGGTGCTCTCACCACCGAGGAGCAGGTCGAGGACTTCATCGCCACTGGCATTGACTTCCTGGCCCCCGCCTTTGGCAACGTCCACGGCGAGTACGGCAAGCGTGGCCCTGTCCTGGAGTTCGACCGGTAAGCTCAATACCCAAGCCCTGCGACACTCAGTGCCTTTGCATGATGAGGAGAGAGAAAACTAATGAAATTTTCAGATTGAACATGATTCGGGAGAAGGCCGCTGGACGTGTGCGCATTGTCCTCCACGGCACCAACGACTTCCCCGAGGACATCATGAAGAAGTGCATCAACGGTGGTGTCTCCAAGGTCAACGTCAACAAGCTTGTCTTAGACGACTACCTGGTCCACCTCCAGACCAAGGCGTCCACGTTGAGTCTGACCACGCTCATGGAGGAGGGCGTGAAGGAGGCGCAGAAGCTCATGGAGTGGCAGATGGATGTGTGCGGATCTACTGGCAAGGCGGCATAGAATTTTTTATAGAACGGGAAAAGCGGCTACGAATTGAAAGCGTTGTGTTTTTTTTTAAATCTGACATGAATCGTGAATGGCACATCTACTGAAGCACTTTGCGTTGGATTGTGCGAGCGGATTTTTATGAAATCGTCCCCTCTCCCTGACTACCTCCTACCTAGCTGTTAGCTAGGCTGCAATCGATCTCTTATTACCTAGGTAGCTAAAGGTAGGGGAGAGGTCTCCCGTCCACACAGGAAATATAACCAGCATCTCTGATAGATCTGTTATCTCGTTTGTGCTTCTCCCTGCCTCAGCCTCGGTGTGACTGTGAGTATTTTATCCATCTCAGCTTTGAGCCTCGATATTATTCCGTACATAATTAATATTGCGTACCTCGACCACCTTCCACTAATTATAGGTGATCGAAGGAGGGCACACGGTTAGGATCATGAGCCACACCAGTCGGCAGGTTCAACAGAGGCTCGGAGCTGAGGCTATGTTGGTCAGTCAACAGTAGGTCCAGGAGGTCTTAGAGGTCTCTTCTTGAGCCACAGCCCCGGGCGGGCTCGGATGGGGGCTCAGAATGGCAGATTTGACCGTCAATCGTCTTTGTTTGCGGCTCGTTTGTGTCCACCTGCTCTTCGATAGTGTGCCCAGCCGAGGGTATGGCAGCGGTTGGCACCCTATGGGGCCTCAAATCACGTCTAATTGATTCAAATCTAGAGGTTAGGGGCGTTGATGAGCCCGAATCGCGTTTCATCGAGGCCGTGGCAACGTCTGGCACTTCCTCAGTCTGCTGACTGGTTGCCGAGATGCCCAAATCACGTTGAGTGATTCGATTATCAAATGGTTTCAAAATCCCAATGGTATCATCGGATCAATCATTAGCCTTGAATAAAATTCTAATCATTCTAGAATAATTCTAGCCATTTTGGGATCATTAAACAGTAAAATGAGATTCAGACCCTCCCCCCTTCCCACTACTGTCGCTTGCCGCTTGACCACAGCGAGCTTCAGAATCAATACGCTTCTGGGCCTCCTTGCCCTCGTACATTGTTCTTTCCTCATTTGAACATTCTTCGTCCCCTCTGTCTCTTGCGTGAGCTTCCTGTGCATGTCGGCTGTTCCAAAGTCCAGTCTCCACGCGAGCTTGAGCTTTACGGCGAGCCTCAGATTCAATACGCTTCTGGGCGTCCTTGCCCTCGTATTCTTTCCCGAATTGAACATTCTTTATCTCCTCAATTGAACATTCTTCATCCCCTCTGCCTCTTGCGTCAGCTTCCTGTGCGTATCGGCCGGTTCTCATTCCAGAGTCTCTACGCGAACTCGAGCTCCACGGCGAGCTTCAGATTCGGCCAAGGTCCGCCCATTCTCGAGAGATTGCTCGGTGGAGATGATATCACTGAAACGGCTTTTTGATCAGTTTCTCACTATCCTTTAGTGGGTTGACAGCATACAGCTATAGAGCAAGGAAATAAGCGATGGTTTGAATCGAATGAATTATGATGATTGAGGAAGAAGAAGCTAACTGTTCGATCCGACGGAAGGTTCAACTATATGTATTGCGGCTTGTCGATAATATGTTGAACCGATAAGCTGTTATATCCACACCTTTTTCACTCTTTCCTAGAGGCACACGTCGAAGTATATCTAAAGATCAGAGAGAGAAATCTACTGAGCACTTGCAAGATCCTCATTATCATTATCATTATCGCCATTATCCATTATCGTCGTAATAATAAGTATTAATCATCAGTTTTCAGTCCGATTTGCTCTCTGCGTCCACATATCGTCCTTTAGTATTTAAGTATAATTTGACCCTTGAGGCTCTCAATCTCAGCTTCCAGGGACTGAATCTTGGCCTCCATCTCCTCAACTAACTTAGTCTTTTCTGCGGCAGGATCAGACACTTTCAAGAAGATCGCTTCCTCTTGTACTTTCTCGATCCCAACTTCAGGGGTTGGATCTTTCCACAGGATATCATTGTTGAGGCGATTTTTCTCCTCGATTAGCGTCTCGTTGTCCTTTGTCAATCTTTCCTGGATATCGCTCTACAGGATATTAATTATTAAGGCGGCTTTTTCTCCTCAATCAGCGTCTCGTTGTCCTTTGCCAATCTCTCTTGGATATCGCAGGATATTATTATTAAGGCGGCTTTTTCTCCTTAATCAGCGTCTCGTTGTCCTTGGTCAATCTTTCCTAGATATCGCAGGATATTATTTGTTGAGGCGGCTTTTTCTCCTCAATCAGCGTCTCGTTGTCCTTGGTCAATCTTTCTTGGATGTCGCTCTAGGATACTATTGTTGAGACTTTTCTCCTCAATCAATATCTTGTTATCCTTTGTCAATATTCCTTGAATGTCGCTCCATATATTCATCTCTGCAACAGGCTCGGTTGGATCTTCGATGCTTAAGCAGCGATGTGCGATTCCGACAAGGAGTCAAGTGATTCAGTTAAGTCGCGATGTAAATCAACTGATTTAAGTGACGAAGGTAGCGATCCATGACACTTGACATGTCTTAGAGCGACAAGGGCAGGGATTTGCGAAATAGGCGGATTATCGATACTCTCGCAAGTGCGGATGGACTTGAGCAAGACGGTTCATTCAAGATCAGGCCAGAGATAGTAGCCTTCAAAGAAATAGAAAGCAGCATCTCAAAGTCCATGAAAAGAATTATAACGACAAAAGAGTTATTGCCAGGTACAGCTATTGTTGGTATTGAACCTCAAGTACAGCCGGGTAAAAAGGCTGAAGGTTAATATACTGTGATGCTGGGTATAGCTTCAAGTTATTTAATCCTTGGTGTTTGAGAGTTTCCCTCTTTTTTTTTTTTTCAATCAGCAGCTGCTGTTTAACTATATAGCTCTCTCACTCACTTAGTGGTTTCTTCTCTGCCTTGAGATTGGCAGCCTCGTTCCGTATACTATCACGGAAACCCTTTCGGCAGGCTCAGGTGGCTCAGAGTTCCCTTCTTAAGCCACAGCCACGGGAGGGTTCAGCGGCTGCTCAGAATGGGAGGAATGGGAGACTTAGGCGTCAGCCATCTTTCTTTTGGCTCACTCATACCCATCTGCTCTTCCATGGCGCGTTTAACCGAGTGCATGACAACGGCTGGCTCTGGTGGGAGCCTAAATCACGTTCTATCGAGGCTCTGGCAACGCCTGGCACTTCCTCAATTTGATGACTGCTTGCCAGGGTGCCGCTCATGTCGCGTCTTACCGACGAGGTGACATTGGCAGGCGACGTGCCATCGTCCCGAGCTTCATTTTCGGTTTTGTCTCGGCCGCGGCCTCTGTGGCTACCGCATTCTCTATGATCACGATGGCTAATGCCATTTTAACGACTACCTGATACCCCACGACTTCTGTTTCCTTCTCCTGTCATATTGATTCTACTGCTGTTGATGTTGATGGAGTTGGTGTGGTGGTGTTGGGGTTGATGTTGATGTTGTGCTACGAGTACGAGAAGTGAGCTGGTACCTTCGCAGTAGGTAAAAACACCTCAGATGAGTAAGTCAGTGCTCAGTTCCTTGTTACTACATTACCGTAGGTAGTTGGTGCACTGCCTACCCCCTAACGGACCTGCTAGGTGCCTAATGTTCTCGTCCTCCAGTTCACAATGTACTTACCAGCCTAAACCGAAAGGTGGCTGGTGATTAAAAGTATTGTGTTTTATTTTCACCGCGCATAAACTCTAAGTAGCACTTCCACTGGAGCATGTTTCGATAAAGCGTGATTGGTAACCTGTGAGCGGAGTGTTGGTATTTTCATTCCTCCTCCCAACATACCGTACTGGGTACCTACCCTACCTACCTTACTATCTACAAAGCTATCATCGATTCCTTCTTGGACTAATCAAAGGGAGGATCTTCCATTCATAGGATGAGACACGAAAAAATCGATTAGTTCCAGAAACAGGCTCGCTTCAGCAGGTATTTGTTCGCGAAAATCCAAGCCAGGTAAGTGGCTGTTAAAAAAACAGGCACTGCAAAGTCACATCGATAGAGTTATAATACTCCTTATTGTTTCCTGCTGTATGCTAGTAAGTAAATTATATTGCCTTGTAATGATTAATAATTTATTTTATTATTATGAATATCAACTGTTATCCATTGATATCGTGGCCTCAACTGTATTGACGCAATTTGTCGATCTGGGGGATGGTACTGTCAAGTCCCAAGAGCGGCACATCCCAAGGCCTTAAGTCACAAATCTGACAAATAACCGTGGACTGCAAAGCCATGATGAGAAATAAAGTGAATCCTTTAAAATACAGAATGGCGTGTGCCGGGAGGAGTGAAGACGAGTAGATGCTAACTAGCTGTAGCTGGAAGCTTGCAATTGAATAACGATACGATAGCTAATAGCTGCCTAATAGACAAGTTGACTCTTCTACCCCTTAGGGCGCGAGGACCGTTGACGAGCAAGATGCCTACCTCACGACAAGGATTGCGAGAGCAGGCCGATGAGAGGTCGCAACAAGAGTCAACTTGTCTATTAGGCAGCTATTAGCTATCGTATCGTTATTCAATTGCAAGCTTCCAGCTAGTTAGCATCTACTCGTCTTCACTCCTCCCGGCATACGCTATTATTTATCTGACAAATGGATGCTCCCTGCTGCGGTCGCGCCAACCAGCGACACCTCGACGCAAGTTTATCCCATAATCCGAAGAAAAAACTTCAAGCGGCGACATATGGAATATCCGCATATGAACTCTTCATCACTTTGGTGAACGCTGTTCTCGATAGCCCATCGAGTGCAGCACTAAAGCAACGCATGTCTTTTGATGCTCCCGCCTCAACTGCTTCTTGGTCACTCTTGGTTATTTGACCAGTGACCTCGCTGGACAAGTCTGCATAAAGCGCGTCTGCTCCAAAGCGAGCCTAGGTCGAGCTGCGTGCACAGTGGTGAGGACTTCACCTGGCGGGAATCATGGCTGGGCAATTCCCGTCAGCAGATGAGTCTGCGATAACAAATGTTGAGAAATACTGAGAGTTGGTGGTTATAGATTTGGGTTGGCTAACATTTGGGCACGTGATCTTACATTTGGGCTGGCTAACATTTGGGCTGCTTATATAAGTCATGTACCTTTGTATAGTTTCGCTGAGGTGGGGCGCATATGTTTGGGCTGGAGAGGCGCGTGGGTGATGTACCTTTGTATAGACTTGGGCTGGTTGGTTGATAGTGGGGCATAGACTTGGGCTCAATATTAGTGGGGCATAGACTTGGGCTGGTGTGGGGCATTGACTTGGGCTGGCGGACCTACAACGACGAGGACGAGGCTGATCTTCAGGATGTGTAAGAGTCTCAGCACATTAAGATTGCATGGCAAGAGTTTCAGGATTCTCTATCAAGCACCAATTATTCATGGAGTATTCTGTCGCCCATGTATGGACGATGCTATACAATCAGGTGGTTGGATCTCATATTACACGTACCTATGAGAAGGACAAAAAATAGAATAGCTGTTTTGTTGGCCTTGAAAAGACATCATCAATTTCGAAATCAACACATTTAGTGATGAGATTGGTGAGAACTGTTTTCAAATATTCATTGACTCTGCCTCCCTGTCCTGTCTTCTAGAACAGTCCCATTCTCCCCTACCACCCATTGATATCATACCATGCCCCATTACTACATTATGCAAGTTCCTGCAATTTAAGAAACAAGCGATTGGCCACTGGAAAGTCAACACTCTCTTCCAAGGAGCTATTGGCTACTGCGTATACTGCAAGCGCGCTAATCTGGAAGAATGCGTCAACTTGCTCCATGTCTCTGCCAGTAACCTTGAAGGATGCTGCGTATCTACAAATCGCATCTAATACCAGTCCCTTTGCCTCGTAGCTGTCACCACCACGGGCCAGGATATCGGTTAATGCGTCAGTGGCGTCTTTATTAAGAGCTGCCGCTTTGGCCAAGTTTTCTAGGTAATTGTGCCTTGGAGTCGTAGCCACGCTTCTGTCATCGTCATGGGGGGCATTCCATAGGATTTCCTTGGCCTGCTTCTCTGCCTCTGCCAGACGGAGAAAGACTTCATGAAGTGATGCCGAGTTCAGCATCGGGCGGCACAGATTCTGGGACCATAGGAACTCCCATGTCTCCCAATGCACCATTCCAGTGCAATAGATGACAGTCACCCATCACAATGCATTTCCACGCGACCGCAATGGTTTCTCTCTCTTCTGGTGAAAGTGTAGACCCCATGCGCCTTGGAAGAGCAATGGCGAGCGTCACGCTATTGGGATTCTCACTTCGACGTACGATATAGACCATACCCGAGACTGGCATATTCATTGTATGAATGATCCATCGTGTAGGTAAGACCAGGTTCGTGATGCTTGGAGGGGGAAGCCGGATCTCGAATGGAGAGACGATCAATGCGGATTTCATCCAGTTTCTCTTCTCCGTCGCCTCGTCCCAAAGTTTTTGAAGGGCTGGGTGCACCGCCACTTCATCCATATTCATGCGGTCCGAGTCTCGAGGCTCACTTTGGTCGCTCGTCGGCTCGCTCTGGCCAGTGGGAGGGGCTCGCGACTGACCTGCATGGTCAACGCAAGGTACCTCGAGTGCTGAGCTGGTAACAACTCGGGGCGGTGGTGATTGAGGCGGCGCTGGCAAAGCCAATGAGGATTGGGCCGGAAGAGGTAGGCTATCATCATCCGCCATAGTTGGCTCGATGCCGAGTGCCATGTGATATTCCGGGAACTCGCTTCTCAAAACGTCACATTCAAGCTCGAAGGAATAATCAGTTTTCAGGGCGGTCAGTGTATCCTCAGGTGTGGTCGAGTCTGTGATGGACCCTGATGTATGGGATTCTAGACTGTGATTTTCTCTCCAGCTCCGGTACATCTGTGACGCTGGTTTAGATTCATCGTGGATAATCAGCTCCCACGGAAACTTTGGCCGTTTGTTCGATTCAGCGTACTGTTTGACTAGAATGCCATATATTGTTAGCACGTATTTTCTTGTGGCTTTTCCTTTTTGAAATACTTAGTACTTACACAATTTTCTCCAAAGAGTGTAGTCAATCATGCAGCTGATCCAATCATCGGCTGCCCACACAAGTCGGTTCATCGCCGTGGCCTGGAAGTACTTGACTGTAATCCTTGTTCGAAGGGTAGAGATGGCTTCATTGGTCACTGGTATCGCGTACAGGAGAAATGAGTCCATGTACACACGACGTGCATGCGCGTCAGTACAGTCAGGGATACCATTTGGCCCCAGGCTGAATACATATTTGGGTCCCCGTAAGGACTCAAAATCCAAGTGGTGTATCACAGGCTTTGAATCTGGCATTGGCATTATCAAGGCTTTCTGTGGTGTTTTAGTTTTTCCTTTTGCTTTGCGTTTGCTTTTGCTTTGCTTTTGCTTCTGCTTTGCGTTTGCTGTTGCGTTTGCACTGGTGTTCATGAAATGTGATGTTGTTGTGGATAAGGTAGGCCACGAACGTGAATTTTCTGGGATGCTGAGGCCGCGCTCACTTTTTTTTTTTTTTTTTTGTTTACTTCAGTGCCTGCACGGTGACTGAGCTACTGTAGCACTTCGGTAGTCCACCCAGCAGTAACATACATGTATTGAGGTCAGTACCTAGTGGATTACAGTGGCTAGTATGCACCCAGTGGTTACAGTAACCCGCTCATGGTTTGTTTGAACTGAAGTTGTGAATGCCTACGGAGTGCAACTTCTCGCGTTTGGATCCCCCATTTAGCTTTGGACCCTTCATACGATAAAGGTAGTTATCGAGGTATTGAAACCACCCATAATAATCACTACAGTAGTAGAGACAGCGAGGTTAGGTTTGCAACGTTCGCTCGTCTAAATAGGACGCGTGTGGCCGTAAGTATGGTTAGACTGGTGAAGAAGGTATTGACATACATTTGGGCTGGTTAGCATAGACTTGAATATATATATACACCCATGATGCCGTTTGTTTCGTTTCAAGCAATACAAATGCTTTTGCAATATATCACCGGAACATGGAACTGTAGGTAATGAATACCCAGGTCTATGGAACTATGAACTGTGCGGATTTGCTCTTTTCAAACTACTATTTCATACCATTTACAATACTAATACAATCAATTACTGCCTTCGGGCATATGTAGATTGGTCGACTCCGTATCTGCTGCCACTTTACTCCCACCTTGATTGTTGGACGACGTGATCGTAGCCGGTGCCGTGGCATTGCTTTGCGCTTCTGTAGCGGAGCTCAGGCCAGCAGGCGTAGGTCTAGCCATCAATATGTCAGGGTCCAGATCTCCTGGCTGTGGTTCCACGTTCATACGATGAGCCAGCTCATCCCTTCCCATTGAAGGGTCTGGCTCGCCTGGGCTGTCGTCCTCGATTATTTCATACGAGTTCGGACCAGATCTGGCACGTCCTTCTCGATCCCAGAGCAACTTCCATGGGTCACGTCTGCTTATACGAGCATAGACAGGCCTTATGTGCACTCTGAACCCGTTACTGAACTCTTCGCTTCTCGAGTCTCTCTGCAGAGCCCCTTCCATGACGATGATGCTCACATCTCTAAGCTTCGGGTCGTCCTTTACCATGTGGTATAAGGCCTGGCCAGTGGCCTCGTCTCTTGACGTCGTGTAGATGTTTGATTGTGGCCCACCGCCAAGACTGTTGTCGATGGGACAAGGGTTGTAGGTGCCATCGCTTGTGGTTTGGCTATTGATCCCGAAGTAATCGAGTCCCGAAAGTCGAGGGTTAGTCACCCGACCTCCGGGGAGTATGGTACTCGTCGCCGTAGGAGGGGGAGAGTTTCGCTCTCGTCTCTCTGACCTTGAAAAGGCTGATTCCTCATGGCCTCTAGATGGTATTGCTCGTCGACGTTGATTTTCATATCGGCGGGATGATCTTGATCGATAGCGCCTGTGCTCATGTCGAGATGGGGACCTTGATCGATTGCACCCATGTCGAGGTGGCGACCTTGATCGGTTGCGCCCATGTCGAGGTGGCGACCTTGATCGGTTGCGCCGGTGCTCATATCGAGATGGCGACCTTGGTCGGTTGCGCCGATACTCGTGTCGGGATGGAGAGCGTTGGCGACGAGAATCTGGGAAGCGTCTTCCATCTGACCGTCCATGAGACGAACGAGGCGATCTGTATCCATCGTGGTACCACCCATATTCTTCATCAACCTCGCTCTCATATTCCTCGTCAACCTCGCTCCCAAATTCTTCGTCAACCTCGCTCTCACTGTCTGCAAGAGGTCTATGGCGATTGCTTGCTCTGCTATAGGCCCTCGAACGGCTCCGGGTCCGGCCTCTTGAGGCGGAGCGTCCCTGACGAGAAACTCGTGAGCCCTGCCTTATCAGCTTCTTGGGCAGAGTTGCGCGGGTGGTATACCACTGCGTCAACCGTTGTTCCTTCAAGAACTCCTGAACTTTCTCCAGTGTTGAAAGCCTCTCGATATTTGGCGGCGCAGAATCTGTCGAGGAGCTGTCCGGTAGGGTTTCGTCTCCACAAGCTAGTCCCATCTTCCTCCACCATGCTTGGAGAATAGGCGAGGGTGGTGCGGCTGGGTCCCTTGGAGGCATTCTCCATGGAAATGCTGGTATAGCTTGATCCTCTGGTAGGTACTCCGTGACTAAGTATGACAAAATCATTGGTCAGTAAAGTAGTCAAGGTTTGAGTGATTAGGTGTTCCCATGGGACACTTACACATCGACTCCCAGACTATTTTATCAATCTTCATGCTGAGGAGGTCGGATGGAATATTATGAATCCCCAAGTCGGTGCAAAAGTTGAGGGCTTCCCGTACGGACCATTCTCGGAAGTATCTAATGTTCTTAACGCCAACCGGGAGTGCAAATATCAGGAACGAATCCATGTACACTTGGCGATACACTTCGATCAGCCCATCGGGCATCATGCCCTTGAGCTCGAATACATATTCTTCTCCCCGCAGGGATACCATCTGTAGATGGTCAGGTGGGCTAGTCATTGTTGATTTACCCAAACAAAAAAGAAGTTGAAATGAAAAGATTTGCGTATGTGTTGAGGTAGAGAGTGGATGTGGGTGTTTGTTTATGGTGCGTGTTGATTTTTTGGGAGCGAGGAATTTTGGAGAGGAGAGAAGTGGGCCAGGTTAGCGAGGGGAAAATTGCCGTGGCTTAGAAATTGAGAAACTACCTACTGACGACTTAAGAGTACATGGCTGTTCACAGGTGAGGAAAAGGTGAGCTGGTGGTACCAAGCGGCTGGCAGAAAAACAGGGAAAACAAAGCACCTCGACAGAATTATTGTGGCAGTCAGTTGCATAACAATCTCCTATTGTATAACAATAAGTAGATAATATTAGCTAACAATTACTGAATAATTTATCATTATACCTATCCATGTCGTGGCCTGAAAGTTGGAATTAAAACACCTTTGCAGTCTTGTCTGTTATTCTGTTACTTGAGCACTTCAGTCATGGGTAGTCAGTAGTTTGCAGACCTAAGCTGAAAACACTGTGAGCTAGTGGTCTGTGAACCCTGTATGTACCTACCTGAGTATTTCTAAGTGAAGTGTGGTTTGCCTTTTTCTAGGTTTTTTTTCTCATAGCATAACATTAACACCACCACATCACCTCCACCACACCACTCAACCACACCACCTCCTCCATCCATATCAATAGTAACAACGACAACGACAAAAACAAGAGCAGCAGTATCACCAGCATGGATGATATTCAACAATTACCATCTCAAGCTCAAAATGAGCTAGATTCCCTCGCGAAAAGTATATGCAGTGGCAATGAGCTCGTAGCTTTGAGCCATGTATTGAAACCCCGAGCATGCGCGGAGCACCTGGTCATCCCCGACGCGATACATGCTCGAGTTTCACAATTACGTCCAGCGACCAAGGTATTCTACGTAGCATCTCAAGTAGAATCCGCTACACGTCGTTACATGGCCAGCACCACAGACGCCTTCACGGAGATATTGATAAAGACCCGAATGAAGGAGCAGAACGACAAGAAAAGACACCGTCTCGTCGTATCATCAAGCGAAGAGAAGCAAGGAAGTAGCATCGAGGGTATTGCCAAAACCGAGGAAGATACTAGCTCCGAGGAGGTTGTCATTATCGTGGAACTTGACCCAGAGCTGAACCCGGATTTTGCGCTCCTCATGGTACTACTTTGCCAAAGAGCTAATGATCTACATATGTGCTTCAACTCCAAATGGTGGATGCATATTGTTACGATTTCAAATGAGGACTTTGATCAGCGCATACAAAGGCTTTGTCTGCGGCGGGATCCGGGATCAGGCCACTGGTGCTTGCCACGGTATAACAGGTATATACTGGAGTGGTCTCGTCATGGTACCGTCGTGGACACATCGCTAAAGACGATGGTGGCTTCGTCCAGCGGAAGGATTAGCACCATGATGGTTCAAACAGAAAATGAGACGACTGATATAACAGGTCTCGTTGAAGAGAGTATCCTCAATAACGATACAAATCGTCTTTTGGTTATATGCTTCGAGCCATGGGCTCGCATTAAAGGACTTCTTCATTCGCTGAAAGGCCATGAACAGACGATCGATTACTTTCATTATACGGAAGCGGAACAGGGCGAGGAAGCCTCATTCGTGAAATATATGGTGAAAGCTTTCGAACAGATCAACCTTCTACAGGCAAGACATGGCAAGAAGCTGGTACTAGTCTTATTTTTAAGACATAGAAGCTCGGACATCATCACGAAGGCCCGCATGTCAAACTGGAGCACAATCACCATCCTTGGCACTCGGCGGACGAGTAGGTTACTTGACATGAATCTAAATCACACCGCAGTGGTCGTGCCTAGGTTTCCGTGTCCAGAGGAACAACTAGACCAGTTATCATGGGTCCGTCGCTTCGACACGAAGGGTACAGTCATTATCACTGGAAAAGACCCTCGGATGCTATTCGACAACTGGGGAAACTTTGCAATGAAACACGGCGTCCGGAAAGTGTTGTTTCCGAAACGAGATTTTGAGAGTCGTCTTGTGAAAATTGAAAACGATAAGATGGCAGGTTTCTACTGTGCCGTCGTTGCGCTTGATGCGATCTTCGGCATCCACACACCTACCATCATACATATGATCGGGAAACACGCCGACGCAAGGATCGCGACACTCGAAAGCCTGAGGTATCAAGGGATATTAGACAAATCGCCTGGGACGGAATCAGAACCTATGCGATTACGACTTAAAGCACTGGCAGAGAATGAGCAGCAATCTCACATGCTCTTCTTACGTCTCCTGATGGCCTTCGAATACGACCATAAGCTGGCATTGATGGTTTATAACTCACTCAATGGCGACAAGGATACTCGGATTCTCACTATCCTCGTCGCTTGCGCTCTTAGGCTGGGACTTGAAAGGCTGATTAAGACTGAACAAATTCTGAAGGTGACTCAAATAGATGGCGGCCTCGAGACACTTTTGAAAATGTGCACGGGACCATTCCGAAAGCTCGCCAAAACAGGAACACTGTGGCTCAAGCTCGCGCTGATGCACAAGATACTGTGGGTGGACGGGGAGTTGGGCTCGCATCACGGCCTACTGCCCGAGTCCTTCATCTCCGTCTTTCATGTAGGCAACCAAGAGCGTCCGATAGAAATACCGTCGAAAGCCTACCTTACACTTGACCGCTTGATAGGTTCTATCATCAAAGTCGTAAGCAGCGCAACAGGGGAGACGCCTCCCCCAGGACTTCACTGGTATGTGCTGAGTAGTGAAAGCACGCTACGTGGTGTTCAGAGACATATGCTCGAAGGGCATATTCTTGAGATTGTACTCTCACAGCCTCGTACCACACCGAGTTTTGTCCTTGGAATTAGAAGCCGAAAAGCCCTTGAGTTTCGCCACAGGTATATGAGAGATATGGCGGCGAATATGGCAAGAGATCTTCCACCCGAAGAGCTGAACATGTTTGGGATCGCACTCAGTATTCCAGTACTTGATTCGTCGTTTTTCTACATCGATGAATGGATCGCGATCCCACTCCAAAGTGTCCTCTCATGGAACGAACTACATCATGGTAGTAAAGACACGCCATTATTTGATGGACTTATCTGTTAGAATATGACGTCCGCCGACTGTACTCGCGTTACATGGAGATGGAAACCTGCAACCTGTTATTTGTATAAAACTTGGTGAGCGGACCGCCCGCCATACTTGGAGTTTGTACCCTCCATAGTTGCGTAGTTGATATGGCCAATAAATTGGCAACTTCAAAAGCTTCTATCTATGGATTTAATACTTGATCAGACATGCATTCATACCCTCTTAGCCAAGATATCGATGTATGACCTGCAAAATCCAAATTGAAAATTACCCCAGTAGTCATCAAATGCACTCTTTGTCTACATAAATCAAACAGAAACCAATCAAGTAGTCATGGAAATGGCAATAGATAACATAATAATTGTCGAGGTGGTAGCCATAGGGGACTGTCCAGATTTAGCCATCCGAGTTAAGGGAACCAATAAGGCAGAAGACTTGGGTGCATAAACAGCTTGTCTACGCTCGGAAAGATTCGTGGATCTGTTACCTTGAGAAGACAGTGGTATTAAGAGCTTGGTAGAACTGGACGAATATACCAGCCGCGATTTCATTTGACCACACTGCACCTCAAGGAGGATAAACTGTGCCGCTACCGTCAAAACGCCAAGGCATTCGAGCAGGAAAATTCCAAGACCATATTCCGAGGCAACAAAGAAAAGCTGTGGTTAGCCGTTGATGAGGTCATCAAACTCGACAATACATACAGACCTAATCTCGTATTTTGGTAAAAGGTCAATAAACTCTTCCATTTTGTTGTTATTGCCATCCATCAAGTGGCCGCATACTTTGTTGACTCCGTAATTACTTCTGGAAAACGGGGAAATTCAGAACTCAGGAGAGGGCGAGAAAATATCCAAAATTGGACAAACAACCTCAACATAGACTAAAACATGCCTATATACCTATTGACCTTGCTTATGAATATGTAATTCTGGAAATAGCCACGATTATACGTCAGAGCTTGGATCGGCCGCAAGTTGTAATGTGTGTGAGTGCATGGATCAATCCCCCTTCAGATGCAGTTTCTTGTCTGCCGAATTAATCACCATACCATCTATTATATTAGCTGACTGACGTTGATGCAGCTTCAGGAGGGAGAGTTCCACACACCCTCCTACAAAGACAAAGATGGTGGCAACGCGATGGACAACTCTCATTGGTCTAGCTTTCTCGAGAACCCTGCAAACCTATGTCATAGAACAGAATCTGGGGGCTGACCCACGGCCATCGTCCTTGATTTTATTAGAGCATAATGACATCGGCTCGGTGACTTGCATACAGGTGGTGTCAGCAGGGGCTTGACATCATACCGCATTACGCCATGACGCCTTTAAGTGAATGCAGATCCTAAAGGCTTTCCCGAGATTTAAACCATCATTACGCCTCGAACAACTCAGACAAAAACATTCAATCCAAACGAACTTTCCTCACTATCTAAAAACACGAGCAAATACCAAGATCGAACATAAAGCTAAACGTTGAGCGAACGATCCCCACAAAAATGTCAAACAACGACAACGGAGGTCTCTTGGGCGGTCTCCTCGGAGGAGTCGATAACGTCCTCACTGGCGGCGAGCAGGCACAAGGCAAGGGCGGTCTCCTAGGAGGCGTCGTGGGTGCCGTTGGTTCCACCACCCAAGGGCTCGGCAACGCTCTTGGTCAAACTACAGCGGGTGTTGGGCAGGCAGTTGGAGATGTTGGAAATACCGTGGGCGGAACTGTCAGCAATGTGACTGGAAATGATCAAAGATACAAGAAGAGCGGCATCTAAATCACTCAATACGGAAGCCTTCGAAATATTACAGATAAAATTCGACTTGATAATCTTACTCTTGCGAGCCAATGCAATGTGAGAAAAGAAACTGCAAAAATAAATATTACAAGCAATATCTTACGAACAATTAACAATGCAAACAATGATATTACAAACAATGAATGCTAAAGTGTATGATTACTACATGCCTAATAATCACAAAGCAGACTTCTTTCTTTCTTCATATTCACGATAGATGCTACTCACGATGTGACGGCAGACACTAACAGAGAATAAACCTAAAGGTCACAATGACAATTCTAATCATATTAGTACATAATCACGTGAGCCAGCTTCTACGTTTCTTCAATTCACGTCACTTTCTTCTTTCTCTGCATGCACTTCCTTCATTTTTCTCAAGATAAAACAAAAGCTGTCTGCTTCCACATTCTCTATTTCCATCATGCCGAGAAAACGTCTACCCAGCGATTTCCCATATCATCCTGGACTTGAGCTCTCTATCAAAAGGCACATCCCTCCTCAACCATTTGCCGAGCCCTGCTTCCTCAAAAATGCAGCTCCCCGGCCCATGGCACAGGACCCTCGCGGAGGACCATACCGCACACCCCTTGAATGGTGTCTCGACTTTCCCCCAGCCGACACTGAACCTATCAAGGACCCAGAGTTTCGGAGACTACATATCGTTGATCAAGTCGCTTGTGGAGCAGCGCGCGCGGCGCAAGTTCTACGTTGCTACCTCGATGACACTGAGGGCACAACCTATATCGCCAAGATTTTCGATGCCCTCTACTCCTGTCCTGAGGATGGCGACTATACCTATGAGACTGACGGGAACTATGCGTCCGAAGCTGCGGCCTATAAAGAACTCATGGACCTTGGCATGGACGGCGATCTCACGCCCTATTATCACGGTTCATGGACGTTTGATTTGCCGGTTCCAAGCGCTCATTCCCCCACCACCCGATCTGTCCGCTTGATTATTATAGAAGATATCCCGGGTCGATCCATGGGTGACATACTCGGGAATTACCTGGAAACCTTTATCCTTCCAGAACATAGGCTTGCCGTCCTTGCCAGAGTCATGGAAATTTATAGCGTGCTCGAGTTTGCCGGCGTTATCCATTACGACCTAGCCCCCAGGAATGTTATGTTAACGGGAGTGAATTTCAATACTTGGCCCAACCATACCATGCCAGACGCTGCGCTTATCGACTTTAACTGGTGCGCGTTGATCGATATACCAAGCACCGCCATCCACCGGGATAACAATACCAAACCCAGAGATCCAAAGTCCTACCTTGGCGAGGAGTGCCCCGACAAGTGGAAGTACTGGGTCCCCAAACCCCATCGCTCAAACCCAGCAGCCTGGAGGGGTTGGGTGCGCAAGCTTTGGCCCAATAGCGAAGAATACTCACAGCCACGCCCGAGATACCGCCGGTTCGATGACCTTGGAGACTTTATCGAGGTTCCTCCCCAGCCGGACCCAGAGTATGTTCGTCCGCCATCACCGCCCACGGAGTCTGATGAAGAACTTTAGCCTGTTGAAGAGCAGCAGCGTGTCAAATAAAAACAACGTGTCTCATTTCTAATATAGCTTGCAATGGAGTCTAAGGGCGTTTACTAGGAACTTAGAGATAAGATAATAGATCATTTTATTCATTTTGGTCATGTATCAAAGCGCTACAGTAACAAGACCCTTGTGTGAGTTCTCTAAGACGGACCTTCTGTTTTGGTTTCTGCCTATATCACAAACCACAAAGCTATGTATTGAGGCGATAGCGTGGTCGGTAACTCTAACTGTGACCAAATCAGAGACTCCGGGGTTCACCAGCAAGGTGATCTCCTCAGCTACGGATGGATCATTGCGCAGTCGCAGATAATGGAACTAGCTAATTTTCTAACTTTACCTCATCTGATGAGTAGGCTCCGATAGACTGTAAATAGTTAAAACACTCGTGTAGCTATACGATGATGTCTACGAAAACTCTTGAAATGAGGAAAAGGCTTGCGGGGATTCATAACTCATTGTCTACAACCCAGACCATATCTAAATCCTCACACCAAGCTTCGTCTACATAAACGGAAGCGGGACACCAAAATTCTGACGGCAGAAATACTTCATCGTCACTCTCCGCCGCTGGGCTCTCTGGGCCTCCCCGTGCAACTCAATGAAAGATGCGAAAAAGTTTCCTCTGCTCAAAGGGTTCCCAATCTGCCTCAGACGCTCCACAGCCCACCGCGACTCATCCTTCTCAAAACACTCGACGCCGTACAAGAACAAAGCTCGGAGGTACCCTGGGTTTAAAGCCCCTCCGCTGGAGCCGGCCCAGTCGCCATCGACGTATCCTCTGATCTGCGCCATGGCGTGTCTCGACTCGATTGATGGAAATATCGGATCTCCAAGAGTTCGACCGAAGACGATGAGCTCGGCGAAGTACGCTGCCAGGCAGACCCCAGCGAGTGCGATGGTGGGTTCTGCAATAGCAAAATTGAAATGTTCTCGTAGTTCTCTCGGCTGGAGGCGTAATGGCCCAGGCCGGTTATCCCACAAGGTGTACATGATATCCTTCAGGCCAGTCAAGATATCATTCACCTCAGCCTGGTCTCCTGGCGTGGTTCGTGATCGACGATAGTGGCTCACATCTGCAACTCTGTTCGACACCCTTTGGACCTTGAGATAAAATACATAAAGTGGCGTGCTTATGGTATCGTAAAGAGTATCTCTCGGATCTAGGCTGGTATCCAGAGAAGAGAGGCTTGGCACCTCGGGTATGCTTTCAGTCAAGTGATTGAAAACAGAGTCTGGCAGTAAGCTTGGGCTCCCTCCCCTTTTCGCAGCAGTGTCGAGGATCTGCAGCCAAGTACATATCCGCAACGAAATGGGGGATTTTTGTCCAGTTTTCAACCACACATCCAGTCGGTTTACAAGCACGGGGTCCATCCACGTAAAAGTAGGGTTATCTCGATTTGGGAGAATGAGTTGGGACAAAAGAAGCAAGAAAGCGTCGATGAGTATGATATCAAAGTCGATATTGCCATTGTCCAATAGAAACTGGAAACTGCTGATGGCTGCTTGATATAAAGACATTGCGAATTCAGTTGGCAGCCTGTCCACCTGAGTTCGATGCAGTGCTTAGGTTGACAGAATGCATCTAGCCACCGATACCTCTTGTGTACCAAGCTGTGCTATGCTCTGTTTTATTCTTTTCCAACTAAGGCTGTCAAAAGGGGACAAAAACGGGCAATCTAGCTCGTCTGTGAAGTAGGAGAACGAGGCCTCAGTTGGCACCTCATAGGTGACAAACTTGTCCAAGCTCAATGTCAGTGATATGACTTGCGACGTCCGCTGGAAACGTTCAAGAGAAGAAGCTCCAAAGTTCGGATCGTTCCCTTGATCTTGGCCATCAGGCCCAGGGTATATTGGTGCCTCGTCAGTTGGAACGACCGCTGGAAGAACCCCTTCAGGATGAGCATTATTCGAGAGGCACAGGTTTGGGGCCTGGTTCTGTGGTTCCACGTGAGATATATCACTGGCATCCCTATAAATAGGTGGATGCTGCAAGTTCTGGATTGGTGAGAGCAGCTTGTCGGCGAGGTTCCCAGCCTGCCAAAGTACAGGGGATGCACCGGCTGTGATACTCATTTGATCTTCCGAGCTACTAACATAGTTCGCGCTTGGATCATCGAAAATTGGAGGCCATCCCCGTGGATCCGGTATTCTATACACACATGGTCTGCCTTGCTTGATACATCTTTGGCAAGAAGGGCGCTTCTCGTCGCATTCGACTTTCCTGGCTCTGCAGACAAGGCACCCGGTTCGACAACGGGTTTTACTTTTCATGCGAGGATTGGGAGCTGGCCTATCAGGTTCGATGCTCTGTGCCACTTCATCTCGATCAATAATCGATGGAGCTTGAGAACTTGATGGGTTGGGAGATGTCCGTGCCTCACGCGGTGCTGACGGTTCTAGAAGTAAGTCTGAGGCCGACGGTGATGTGTTCAAACGTATAGAAGGTTCAATAGGTCCTTGTAAGTTTGAGACCTCCGGGGATTCTGAAGGAGGCGTTGCGCGTGCGTGTAGCGCCATTGTCGATGCTTCAATTTCAGGCCCTCATTGACAGTATTGATCGGATGTTGAGGTGATGTGTTTGGAACCAGCCGATGCCAGCCTCAGGGGCAGTCTTGTCTTATATAGCGTTGGGCAGGCTGTGGAGTGGCCTTCCACCCCGCTGTAGCACGCTAATGCGGGCTGGTAACAGCGAGACCAGACAGAGAATTATTAACAACTAACCACCTTGCGTCTTAAACATTTGAAGTTTTCGACCTCATATTGAAGACCATTTGACTAAGGAATCGTGAAGAAAATCAATCATTGATTATACTACATCATTCCGGTGCCATTCCTCCTCAATCATGCAGTGCACGAGCATCGCTCAAAATCCTCGCAACCTGGGCCACATCATCACTTATAAGTTGATCTAGCAATCCTTCTCGCACCCAATTGACAGCTTGGGCCTCTACATCCACGCCATATTTCTTGAGTGCCTCGAGCCTCGCTGGAGACGGAATGTGCAAAAAGACAGCAAAGCCTCCCTCGTGGAGCTGGTAAGCCTCGCCACTGGGGAAATGCTGAATCTCAAGATTGACTGCATCTAGATTTGCTTCCCGCGCTATGGCGGCAGGGTCGATGAGCCGCGAATGAGAAATTCCCACCGTCGGGACCTCTGGAACGATTTTTTTGATTGCTTGAAGTTGGACAAAGTCGAAGGAGGAGAACTGAAGCAGGTCTGCGCACTGCAGCTCGTCGATCAAAGCTCTAAGCTTGGCGAAGATGAGGTCGTTCTGGTCGTAAATCTTGAGTTCGAGCTGGTAGATGATTCCAAGTTCTCGCGCCAGACTGAGGGCATCGCTAAGACGCGGGATCTGCTCTCCAGCAAACTTCTTGTCAAACCAACTACCTGCATCCAGCTTCTCAATCTCTGCGTAGGTCATGTTACGGACAAGGCCGTGGCCGTCAGTGGTTCGGTCCACGGTTTCGTCGTGGATTAAGATGAGCTCGCCGTCACTCGTAAGAGCAAGGTCAGTTTCACATGTGACGCCCTTTCCGCCAACCTCTACAGCCTTTCGAAATGCAGCGAGCGTATTTTCCGGAGCACCAGCACTGAAGCCCCGGTGTCCAGCAATTCGCGGTGTTGTTGTTCTCAGGGGATTCATCTTTATCTAACATGCATAGTCAGCCCAGAGGCAGAGCTCTAACAGGGTAAAAATGTCGGTGCTCACTGTTCAAATTCTGGTTGGAACTAGACTTGTAAAGTTAAGAACAAGCGCAGGAACAACACAGTTAAGTATCCTAGCCCAACTGAGGTAGCTCGCAGGCGTGTCACGATGCCACGCAGTCTATAGTCTGAAGGCAGGGGTCCTCTTATAGAGCCGAGACGGCGGGGCGGCCGCTTATGATGAGCCATGGTCCAGGGCTTGGAATGACGCTTCTCGCTAAAAGCGGAGCTCTTACAACGATTGTCGGGACTTTCTGCATAATGAGGCGAAGCAGTTGTGGGCGAAGCAGTTGTGGGTTAGCTTCTCGCCGATCCCAACGAAAGAGAGGGAGGTTTGTGACTGGCTGTTCCCCATTTCTCCCCTCAATCGTAGACAATGCCACGAGAAGTACGATGAAGTGAAAAATATGTGTGGGACTTACACAATCTCAGGCCGGAGGATGACAGTCTCACTCTCCAAAGCAACCAGAACCACAGCCCGTTCCAGAGACAGGGGTTGGACATGGAGTGTTTAGAATGATCTACCCTAAACTTCGTATACTCCGGATAGAATCAGCAAACGACTTCAAACTTTATCATCAGGTGTGATGAGAATCTAGCTGAAGGCTATCATCTTCTTTGGTAGAGAGAAATATATTTTAAGTGAGAAAGAGAACGCTTTGAACAACGATAGTTTATTCCGGCTATGTACCCGATGTAATAAATTCCCTTCCAAACCCCGTCTATCGGCTTTCCTCAACTAAAATTGTCTTCATTGTTGCTAGAATACGACCGTGAATACCTCCCCTAGCTACAACCAAGCCCCTGTTACGACTCAAGTCTCTTCCTGCGCAGAAGTCAATTTCATTCCCATCCAAGTCTGTCACCTTCCCACCAAGCTCTGTGAAAACCAACTGCGAGCCCGCATGATCCCAGATAGGCATCTTGGTTGCTGGGTCTGCAGGAATCAAAAAATGCACATCGCCGCCACCTACAATCAGCGCCGCATATCGAATATGGGATGACCATATCTCCGTGTTGGGAAAGGTGGTTTCAAACCTGTCTGCTAGCTTCGCAATAACATCGTGACGGCAGGTCACAGCGGTGGCACAGTCAATGATGTGAAGCTGCTTAGAGCTCAAAGGTCGCAGCGTTTCCAACGGACTGGGATCTCCTAGGCCGGTTGGGGTCATGCTGCGGATCGCTGAGCCCTGCCCACGGACAGCCGTGAGCATGATACCCAGCCCCGTCTTGTCGACCTCATTTTCTGTAATTCTAGTCATCTCGGCGCTGATGTTTGGGCAGCCTATTATCCCGATGACCTCCCTCCCGTCTTCAATGAGAGCTAAAGAAACGGCATATTGCTGACCCTTGAGAAATGCGGCTGTTCCGTCTATCGGGTCGATTGTCCAGAACCTCCCCCCCGCCTTGCACCCAGTCTTGTGGCCGCCAAGATCTATCAGGTCCAGCATCTCTTCCACAGATTCTGGCTTTGGTAAAGGTTTTCCCGAATCTTGTAGGTTGATCACATCTTCTGCAGCCAGTACAAGATCGTACACTTTGTCCCGAAGTTTCTCATCGACCCTCAAAGTAGCCGAATCTTCCTCTCCCAAGAACATATCATTTGGGAAAGCATGATAGAGGGCCTTGATAATAAGACATTGTGCTGCAAAATCTGCAATGGTGACGGGTGAGTTGTCTTCTTTGGAGATCTCAGAAACACCGGATTGGACCCCTTTTGTGAGTATCGAGGCACGTAGAACAGCCAATTCGGCGATATGCCGTTCGTAAGCATATTCCGACATCTTTTGTTGTTTCGGCTTAAGTTCGACTGAGTATTGATGTGAAATTCGCTCAGAGTTGCTCAAAGTGAAGCGTTCTGGAGTTGTGATTCCGATTGTCACTATGCTTGTTTGAACTAGGTTGGTAGTGTTTAGTGCTAATTTATTTTCACTTTGAATGATTCGCAGGGAATATTCCTACATCAATGTAGGCACACCTTGGTTCAGACTATAGAGAAGCCTAGAGGTTCAAGAAATAGATGGCCTTTCAATATAATCTCCATTCTAAAGCAATCGTCCGACAACGTGCTCTTTAATACCTTCCCGCTCAGGGTATATTCCCCTGTCGTTTTCTACCTCGCTTACAAGTGGGGACATATTGATACCGAGCTATATTAGAAAATGTCTCTTCTAATGGCTGTGCTGTCTAAGGAGGAAACTAGTAAATCCACGTGCTTTCACAACTCCACCGAGCCAGCTGCTTATCTCGGCAAAAATGGAGACGCTCGTTCAAGTCTTGCCGCTTTCCAGGCCTTCTGGGGCCATCGTGTCGGAACTAGGAACCGAGTTTAGTTTGCTAACGCATTACCCCATGGTTTCATGCATGTCCTAACTCCTGGAACTCATTGGCTGCTCATTACCTCCACAAACATTCTTTACCTGGATGGCTGCTGTTGGGCGATCTCTATAAGATGCTGAGTCGGGACGTCGTTGACCAATTTTCGATGCAACCCCAGACTCAAGGTTACAACTCATTCTTCACAGCAACGCCTCGCTCAATTCTTTCAGATTGGTGACTTGAACATCATGGAAAAGTCTATCGAGTCCACCGAGGTCATGCATGCCGAAATCCGCACCGATGCTGAAGTCGCAACTGCTTGGGAGCATTCCTTGACCCCTCGCCGTGCCTTCAAGGTTTACAGGAGTGCAGTCTGGTATGCGGCTATTGTGTCCATCGCCCTGGTCATGGAGGGATTCGACACCAAGATCATGGGTTCTCTTTTCGCCCAGCCCGCTTTCCAGAAAGACTTTGGTTTCCAAGCACCCAACGGAACATATCAGATCTCAGCCCCATGGCAGAGTGGGCTTAACGGAATGTCAGGCGTCTGTTCTATACTTGGAATGTTTCTGGGCGGCTACGTGACTGAGAGATTTGGCTTCCGGAAGACCATGATGGCCACGTTGATCTCAATGCCTCCTATCATCTTCATATACTTTTTCGCGCCAAATCTTGCAGTCATAGCTGTTGCGCATTGTTTTATGAGTGAGTGAGCTTCCAAAAGAGAGGGGAAAAAATTGAGACTAAAGACTAACACCATTCAGCTTTACCTTTGGGGATTTTCCAAACTATTACTACAGTATACGTTGCTGAGATTATGCCTACCGCCCTCCGTCCCTATCTTACAAGCTTCTATTCTCTTGTTTGGGTAAGTACTCGGCAGACTTTAACCGAGAACAGAAAAACAAGCTGACACTTTCAGGCCTTTGGCCAACTTTTGAACGCAGCTGTATTCCGCGGCACTCTTAGCTTACCTAGTCCATGGGCATATCGCGTTCCCTTTGCTCTCCAGTAAGTCTCATGCAGTACTGGATCCAGAACATCATTTAACAAATAGAGTAGGTGGTTCTGGCCTGTGGTTCTTATCTTTGGTGTATTTTTCATGCCAGAATCTCCCTGGTGGCTCGTCCGTCAGAATCGTCTAGACGAGGCCGAAGTCATCATCTCACGCTTGACCTCCCCCGAAGAACTGGACATAGACACTAAGAAAATCGTCTCTTTGATGGTGTTTACCACAAACCACGAACGGGACATGGAATCCAGGACCAATTACCTGGCGTGCTTCAAAGGCGTCAACCTCGGCAGAACGATCATCGTAATGGGCGTTTACATCATGCAGGTCGTCACCGGCGCGCCCCTGCGAGCATATATGACCTACTTCTTCCAGCAGGCCGGTCTGCCTACAGATCAATCTTTCAACATGTCCATCGTCGCGTTGGTGGTTTCAGTTCTTGGAGTATTCGGCGCGGTGAGTATCCCAATTCCTTCAATACTACGGACAGGATTTAGACTGACCTTTCCCCTTGCAGTGGGTGGTGATGACCTTTGCCGGGCGAAGAACAATGTATCTCTGGGGTAACCTCATCTCGATTGCACTCTTCACAGCTATTGGAGGCATGGGCATCTCACTCCGACAAGCGCCATCATCAGCAATGTCGTGGGTTATCGGTTCGCTCCTCGCCATCGACGGCTTCGTCGCGAACTGCCTCGTCCTACCGATCACATTTGTTCTAGTCTCAGAGATCCCATCATCCCTCCTTCGCAGTAAATCCGTCGTCATCGCGCGTAATACATACACCGCCGTCAACATCGTTGCTGGCGTCATCACGCCGTATATGCTCAACCCCACCGCTTGGGGCTGGGGCGCGCTGACTGGGTTCTTCTGGGCTGGGCTGTGCGTGATCGGATTCCTGTTCACGTTTCTCATGGTCCCGGAATCCAAAGGAAGAACGATTGCGGAGATGGATATCCTCTTTGAGAAGAAAGTCCCCGTCCGGAGGTTCAAGGAAACCAAGGTTGACCTTGCTGATGCGGATGAAATCTCAGAGCATCCGTAGTCCGCCATCAAATCCATGGTGCCGAGAAAGCCATTAGGTGCGCACGTTACCTTGAGAAGAGGAAACTGGGTTGAGTTGTATTCAGGTTAATGATAGAGATTTAGTTAGCCTATAAAGGCAACCCATAGCATCAAATTACAAAGCATTCCGCTTCTAAAACGACCACATATGGTCCAATGATGCAAAATATCTTTAATAATATTCAGCTGTTACTCATAAAATCTCGCTTGCCACCTGTCCCACCCTTGTACAGTCATTCAATAAGAGTGGCAAGCCAGCGCTCTCTGTACCGCGCCTAGCTCTTCGATGGTTTCCGATAGATTTGATTCGCATTCTCCCAAAAGCTCTCTGAGATTCCGATCTCGCTCACTCCAATTCGAGAGAATTTCTTGGCCCTCTGAGCTCACCCTCCAGACCTCAGGCTTGGAATCCCATGTGCGATGGAATTCCCTTTCATTCTGGCCTCTGATCGTCCTCAGGTGGCCAATCATCATTATGAGGTCGGCGCTCCTCTCCTCCAGGAACTTTTTGTGTGCCACAAGTTTCCCAAGTGTGCTCATTTCAAGGATATTTTGCTGATTTGGTGTAGTGAAGTATTTTGAAGTGTAGATCTGATGCTTCGTAGGCGCTTTCTCGTCAGGTTGGGGCACTCGAGTTAAACAGGTTGAAACGTTAATAATAGAGAGTCCAAGTTTCCGAAAATTTGTTTTCTTTAGGCTTCACTGCTTCTTTCCGTCTCATTTTCACAGATTAACCTGTTGTATGTGAAGTAATACCGTCTGGTGTGTGACAAGCATGTTTCCATACGTGTGATGGAAGGCTGGCTAAAGTCGAATCAACCACACTCAGAGACTGGGACTGGGAACACTAGTCCTCGCACCAGGATGGCAAACAAAAGAATTTCTTTGGTCATTCATCCCATTAGCATACTCTTCTTCGGCACTTCGTAGAAGGACATCTCCCTCCCTGCTGTTCTCATTCCCAGGCTACTGTACCTTCCAGGCCCCGTCTCCCATTTCTGAACCCAGTTCAATCGTATCTCTTCGCATTGTATGTTTGGTTTTATTCTACGTCATTCTCAATGGCATATCATCAATACAAGGGATCCAGGAATGGGCATTGAAAGAATATCAAATACTAAGTAACAGCTATTGATGTATCCTGATTGAGAATCATACAGTACATGATGTACAATCAATTACAGAACAGTAGGGAACTTGTATGGGTACTTGTGAGTAGGCTTGGCCTTGGTTCCCTCTCTCACAGATCGCTTTGCCGTAGTGTTTCTCTGGGGGAAGCCCTCGAATCCACTGGCGCCATAGTAAGCAACGGCATGGGCAATACCCTTGGACATGATGCCGAAGCAGGTTTTGTTCAAATTGTTAACGTCATCCTGTGCAGTGTGGTAGTTGGGATCAAGGATAGCGCCAAGGGTGCCGCCAAACTTGTCAACCCACTCCTGAGTCTTGGTCTCGTCTGCTCCAGCATCCAAGCCACCGCATGGGACACCGGCATCTAAGAAGGGACCGTAATCGCTCCGTCCGCTAAACTCGGTAGCGGTGTGGTTGAGTCCATTGGACTCGTAGTATTCCTCAAAGAAATGCTCGGCTTCGGCAGAACCAGCAGGACCGGCCTCACCAAATTCACTGCCATCACCATCGTAATGGCCAAGGATGTAGTTGGGGGATGCAATCATGTCAAAGTTGAGGTAGAGACGAATCTTCAGGAGCTCCTCACTGGAGAGGTTCTCCACGTAATAAGTCGATCCAAGAAGTCCGGACTCTTCAGCGGTCCACCAGCCAAACTTGATTTGAGCCTTGGTGCTGTACTTGGCCAGCTGAATAGCCGTCTCCAGCAGACCAATGGTTCCGCTACCATCGTCGTTGATGCCTGGACCTTCGGCCACGCTGTCGCTGTGTGCACCAAGGAACAAGACATTATCAGGGCTTCCGTACTTGGACGTGGCAATCACGTTGTCGCTAGCGCAACTATTAGCAAAGAAAGTACTGCCAGAGGAGGAATGATGTGGCGTACCTTTGAACAAGCTCAATAACGGTGCCGATTTCCAGCGAGGTGGTGAGAGTGGTGTTGCCACTCAATGCGACGAGAGCCTCACCATCTGCCTGGGAGATACCACCGCCAGGGACAGCGTTGTCGAGAACTTCACCATAGGTCCCGGAAACGACGCCTGCATCTTCGTTGTTCCAGAAGATGACAGCGACGGCACCAGCACTCTTGGCATTCTGTGACTTGAGGGCAAAGGTGCATGACCCACGGTGAACCAGGGCAACACTGCCTGATACTGTAGATGGGAAGTCGGCCTATTATTGCATTAGCTTCAACTCAAGTCCATGGGCATACGCTGGTTTCATTGCAGGTGCAGGAAAAGAAAAATGCTTTTACTCACA